CTTGAGGAGTCGGATCAACTACTACCGCTCTCTTTTCATGCCTCGCGTAAAGTTGCGGTTTGCTCTCCTCCTCCTCCATCTTCACTCACCTTAGATGTTTCATTTGCCGAAGGACACTCGGCACCTCAAGTTGTCAAGGATCTCAGCGACCTCGGGTCGGTCGTTTTACGGGAAACGACAAGATCAGTCAGTCACCCCAGTCAAGACTCTTCATCGCCCCGCAAAAAACTTTCCGCTCCCCCTTTTTATTCTCTTCCTCCAACCGTACCGCCTTTGGACTCAGCCGTGGTCAGAGAATATTTAGCACAGGTATGTCTGTTGCCTTTTCACAGTTCCTATCGCCCGTGGTCGGAAAAAGAAGTTGCCAATATCGTTGTCCTTATTGCTTACTAAATTGGTTACATAGCAGAATATGCAAGTTATTTGTAACGACAATCCACAAGTTATAGTAATTTTATCCTTAACCCCCGAACTTATAATACGTTACTTTTATGACACAATCAGTGTCATTCTATTATTTTCTGTGTACTAAGGCGTAACCGATTGTTGGTTTATATTTAATCCTACTTGATAAGATTTGACTCCATAAAAGGGTCCGTCCTAAAAGCAAGTTAATGGTTTAATTAAACAGGATAGACGGCAGAATGCAAAGTTATCGGACACCGTTACAAATATCGGATGACTGCCGAACGTTTTTCTGCACGAAAACTTACTTTGTGACAGAAAAATAACGGACCTTTGTAACTACAGTAATTTTTTTCCGGTGTACTTCACTGTTCGTCACATGGACTCGCGATTAACGAAATCAAATGCTACAGTGAAGTCAGTAAGATAGATGACAATCGATTACTGGTGGCCGTGGTGGAACTTAATAATTTGCGAAACGGTGAATACCTGGACGGCCTATCCACGTCCAGCTACGCACACCTCAATCGCCTAAGAATAGAGGCCTCATAACAGAGGCCTTTGGGACGGCGGTAAGGATTCCCTATACGCAGCACCACACTTTACTCTACATAGCTAACTACTTATTTCTTTGTAGTAAACCCATTTATAGTGTACGTTTCCCGCATTTACTACTCGATTGCACTCCCCACACGGAAATCTTTAGCGTGTGGCGGTTACTTTTAGTTTTATCAGTTTATTAGGAATCCTTACCGGAATGGCGTTGAAAAAAATTGTCACAGTAATTCTCGTACACTGTCTTATTCCCCTTGACGGTGGGCCCAAGGATGTTCGAGTTTCAGCCCTCAGGAGCAAACTCGTCTTCCCACGCATGCTCAATCACGCCATAGGGTCAGGGCAAAAAACTGTAACCTTCGGCTGCAACTTCGTTTCCTCCGTAACTCCTGTTGCACAGGGTCAGTATCGCGTTCATTTAATGGGAAAGAATGCCACAGGACACTACATAACCCACAGAATGATAACGCTTTACCGCAAGGAGAGGAGGCGCAATGAGTTGTCGTCGAAGGTGAGAAAGTGCATGTGTCAACGCTTGGCCTTGATCGAATTTTCAACTGTAAAGCCGCCACTAATAGTGCATACTGCCACGCGGTACAGACGGACTCTCACTAACATGGCGAATTCTTTTGTACTCTTCGAGTGTCACTGATGAATGCACCTCAATACGTCAACACCATAACGTTTGCGTTCATTTCCAGTCGGTTTTTTCGTCATTTTTTGGAGTTTATGAAGCGTTGCGAGGCCTAATCCGATCTGCCCTTGGTGGAAAACTGTAAGGTTTTTAAGCTGATTCAGTTTCTTCAGTGCCGTTGGGAAAATCCACAAATGGTTAGAGAACGGTTTTGTGTACGTAACCCCCCGGAACTATCGTCCTGAAGATTGCTTACTTATTTCACGGTTTAACCGATGAGCGGCGTTTATTATTACCGCGAGATTGTGCGATTTTCTTGGGCCCGTTTTTTGGCTGTTCTTTATTACATTACAGGGTGTAATATGTGTATTCCCCCTCCCACCAAGCACAACCGTTCCCTAGTCAGTACAGCAGGTGCACAGTACAAATGAGATTTTTTCTTTGCAAATCAATCAGAACTCCGCCCTTAACCGCCCTCTCCATTCCTGTAGTTCGGGTTGCCGCGCGCCACAGTTCGGGGGGGGGCTGCACCACCGTTTCGGACCCAAAATTTCTGAGATGCATTGTGGACAGAACTTCGGTAGCCATTTGATACTGTCCTTTTCTTATACACGGATTGCAAGATGACTTCAGATATCCGTGTTCAGAGTGTCAGTGGTGTTAGACTGCGACGTGCCCGCGTCTTTTACGCGCCACTCAGGACGCAAGTGAAGCGTAAACGTTTAGGCACGTGCAGCCTAGCACCTGAGTTGATGTCTATAAATTGTTAGTTTTGACGTCAAACGATAACAGGGAACCAGCTTCAAAAACTCGAATTGGCTAGGGTGTGGTCGGTCTGGTTTGGTACACGGCCTTCGTTTGAATATCAGATTAGATGTGGCGGCTGAGATAGTTGATTTACCTTAATTACCACATAAAATCACCAGCTACTGGCGTGTATTCTGTACAAAAGTTTGATGGTGGTCAGAGTCCTCGGCGCGTGACCGATTTGGGCTCCGCGTGCCTCCACCGGGATAACGTTGATGCAAAACGAGAACCAGCTTTGTGACTTGATTGAATGATTACGGCATCTGTGAATGTCCGCAATTGGCTTTCCTCCAGGCCAAATGCGTGCATGCTCCACCCTTTTGCGATCACGGGATTTTTAACGCTGTGTGTCGGAAGCCTGAGTTGTCAGATGTCTTTGCAGCGATGCTGTAAGAGCGTGTTGGTCACAACTAATTAGTCCTGACCAGCGGAACTCTACCTTAATTCCCCACCGTCACACCGACAACCAAGCCTAATGCGGTCCAACACTCATCACTCAGATCACGACGAGGGAGTCCTTGAACCCATTCTTTCAGCTATGATGAGGTTACCATATCGCGCTGGCCGACGGTCGGTGTTGATTGCTAAACAGAAATGACGGACGTGTCGTACTCAGCTAACGGGTATTTGACTAATTTCTGCTCAAGTAATGCATTGTTTGCCTGTTGCGAGAGGCTAATTGCCACCGTGTCTGCCTGGCCCGCTGTGATAAAGAGTGGATTGGCAGTTGATCTACAGCATTGGTTGGAGGCTTCGGACATCATCCACCGTGCACCCCTGGAGACTGCGGATTTCCATACTTCGGTCATCAGGCACATTCCAGCCCGTGCATTGTTCTTCCGTACCACTTCAC